CTGGACAACAGAGTGAGAATCTGTCTCAAAAAATTAATAATAAAAATAAAAATTTAAAAAGTAAAATAAAATAAAAATGAAAAGAACTTTTTCTTCTCTTTCTTGCTAGCAATATTTCTTATCTTAAAGTATGTTTTCTTTGATGTAAATATAGTTACACCAGCTCTCCTATGGTAAATATTCCTTGCATATGTCTGTAATTATCAGGTTCCAAACTGAGCTTGGGCCTGAGGGAAGCTGGTGGGAACGGGTGGCGGGTCGCTGAAAGAACACTTCAGAGGCAGTAAGCAGTTGGGACATGCCTTTATTCTCCCTTCTCTAACTTCTTAATAGTCACAGTCAGCTCTGCATGCTCACCTGGCAAGTGGTATTGACAGGTGGAATGGAATGTTGGAGTTGTGGCAGTACCTGGGGCCGGTGATGCCTATGTCCACGCAGTACCGGCTTAACCACACATACTCATTGTCTGAATTCTCCAGCTGTGGTTTGTAAAGCCAAGCCATGTAGAATATCCACCCCTAGAATATCCACCCCTAGAATGTATTCATGTATGGGAGGGACATCCACAGTGCATAAACATGGAGCCACCAGCTGATGCCAAGGTGAAAAGATTCAGGTTTCGCTTTCACTCACCGGCCCCTTAGCTGTCTATATGTGCAGCCTTGCCAAGAAACTGATCTGGGTTCCCACAGACAAGTCTACAGTCTGTGCCAGCACCAGCTGTACACTGGTGAAGGACCAGTGGATTACCAATTCCACATGTGGCCTCCTGGTCACCTGGTGTCCCCCTAAGTCAGGCACCTCAGCCAGTTCCCTAATTACACACAAAAGGGTTATACTTTCACCAATCTGAAAACAGTCCTTGAGCCAGAGTGTCTGGGTGGGACTGGGTCAAGCAGCATCATCCTTCTCCCTCTTCAGCATGTTCCAGAATTGCTGCTCTGGGGACAATTGCCTCCACAAACTTAACAGCACTTCAATGGGTTGCCTATCAGTTTTCTTTTGAGCAACCCCAACCAAAATCAAATCAATCTACATCTCTGTGCAGGTCATCCACTGGGGCCACATTTTGTTCCAAGAGATGGTCCCTTGTGGAAGGGAAACCTTCCCCTTTTCAGTGGCACAGACTCCCTGGTCCTGCCTACAGCCCTCTGCTTCCCTGAGAGCCACCATGGAAGTAGTCACCTCACATACAGAATGAGGATGGTGGCCAGGGAGCCTAAGGCACTCAGGAGCGTAGAGCCCAACATAAGGTCCCTTATGTGGGAGGTAAAGCTTCATCATCTGGCCCTCAGATTGAACATAGCCTGCTACATACACATCTCCTGGATTACTTGCACCAGATCTGGATACAACTGCCATTACTCACTATTTCTGGTATTTCTCTGGCATCTTTTCATACCATTCAAATGGCCACCATCAGCCAGTCAATTATGGTGTAGTCGCCTTTGCTAATAACCATCTGCTCACTGGCGATTACTGATGGAGGAGGGATGCGTCGTAATGGAGGCCAACTTTTCCATTTCAGAGACAGAGTGGTGATACTGTTGGCTTCCTCATCCCAAAGGCAAGGCATCCAGGCAATTAGGGGTTTCCCCGAGTGCTGCTAACACTGTTTAATTCCAACAGCTCAGTTGGAGTATAGGCACTGTATGACATGTGCTCTGTCATGGTAGAGGCTCCCTGAGCCCAGCCCTGTGGCCCCAATGGCTGTTCCTGCTCTATTTTCTGATGGACTACTGGACAAACCCACAACAGATGTTCTTCCTCCTTGGTATCAGACTAAGCAGGGGTCTCTGAGATGGTGGGCCCAAGCCCACAATAATGGCAGCCTCTAATTCTCATTACAAGCTGTGTATCTGGGTCTCCAGGTGCTCTGCATGTGCCTGGAGGTCCCCTACCTCTGCTGCATCCCACAGGGACTGAATGTGCATCTCCTGTAGTACAGTAAAAAATGCCCATCCAACTCTGCTGGCACAGGCACACTCTTTCTCAGTGCTCTGTACTTCCAAGTGCTTCAGTGCCCTCTCCATGCTCACAGGGGACCTGTCCACCACCACCCATGTTTCCACTCAGGCCCATCCTAGCAGCATGACTGCCACCAGATACCACAACCCATGCTGGGGCCACATGGCTGACCTGGGATCACTCAGGGAAGGGCTTGCTCACCTTGGGATCCTACTGACTATGTCAGTTGTTAGGTTCCAACCTGAGCTGGGTTCTGAGAGGAGCTGGTGGACAGGTGGTGGGTGGCTGAAAGAATACTGGAGGGATTGTAGGCAGTTGGGACATGGCTTTATTCTCTCTTCTGTCCTACGAGTCAGCAGTGCAGTTATATTACCCACAGACATACTGGCTCAAAGCCAGGTATGAGCTCACACAAACAGGTTACATGAAATGGCTACATAATGCCTGGGATTGTGCACTTGCACTCCAAACCTGCTGTGTCACACCATACCAGATGTCTGCCTCAACCTACTCCTGACAAGCATAGCCATTTTCCTTACAGGAATAAATAATTTTTGAAAAATGCATAGTTTTCTCTCACTGATGACATGTAGAGACACTGTAAAGGACAAAGGTGGCAAGTGCAATTTCCTATGGTCAAGTTAGCTACCTCCGGGGAATTCTCCTGGAGGCACAATTAGTGTCTTGGTTTGCCTTTTTCTATTTCTCTTGGGTGGAAAGTTGTTCCTCATAATCACCACAAGGTGTCAGTAGAGTCAATTGGGCAGAAATTAGAAAAGGCCAATTACTCTAAAATCTTTCTCCTGCGAAGGGAAAAGAAAACATGTTTCCTAACAGTCTGAGGCACCTTATTGAAAGCATTCTACAGACTTTCTTTCTCTCCCTCTTTTTTCTTTTCTTCTCTTCCCTCCTTCTCTTCCTTCCTTCTTTCTTTCTCTTTCTTGCTTTCTTTCTTCTTTCTCCTTTCTTTCTTTCTTCCTTCCTTTCTTTTTTTAGGGTCTCACTGTGTCCACCAGGCTAGAGTACAGTGGCAGGATCATGACTCACTAAGCCTCAACCTCCCAGTCTCAGTTGATTTTCCCACCTCAGCCTCTTGAGTAGCTGTGATTACAAGGCATGTGTCACCAGATCTGGCTATTTTTTTTTTTTTTTTTAAATTTGTAGCGATAGTGTTTCGTCATGTTCCCCAGGCTCGTCCCAAACTCCTGGACTCAAGCTATCTGCCCACCTCAGCCTCCCAAAGTGCTGGGGTTACAGGCGTGAGCCACTGTGCCTGGCCCAGACTTTCTTGAAGAAGTGAAAGATTTGATGAGTATAATCAGGTTCCAAATCCCAGTGATGTATTGGGGTTGACGTTAATTTTAGACATAGAGTATGGAAGTGAAAGGGGAAGGAAAGTTGGACTATGGAAGTGAAACCAAAGGGAAGTAAACAGACAATAGAACTCAAGTTCACTGAGCATCTTTCATGTCCCAGATATCAAGGTAATTGCTTTGTTAAGGTCTTCTCAATACAACTTCTATCTTAAGGTAGGTGTCATTCTCATTTGACTTGGGCTGGAGAGGCATTGCTACTTGAAAGAAGCCATATCAATGACTGACGTGGCAGTGAGGTTGAGCCTAGGATAAAAAGTGGCTTTGAGTGTGCCTAAAGGGCTGGATGCCTTCTCTGATAAACAAGTCAAAGCTGAAGAGATACCCAGGGGAACTTTGAAGACCAGAAGTGTGACTGGATAATCAGTAAAACTTCTGGTATCTAGAATGCTGTGGTGGTGGTGAAGATATGGTGGCAGGGGTGAGGAACAAAGCTGGAGTGTGAATACAGTAGATGGATACACCAATTGTGGATTCTGGGTCACAGTCCTCTCCTGTGGCAGAAGGTGGCACCATGTGATTGATAGGGGGGAGGTGGATTTTCAAAGAAAGGACTCTCTCTCTCTCTGTCTCACTCTCACTTGCTCTCTCTCCCCACCTGACACATGCATACAAACACATGTGTTTATCCTTACGTTCTTTTAGGCAGAAGAAGGTATACTTTACTCTGTGTTCGAATAGTTAGTACCCTGTATACATTCCTAATTTCATTGTCATCTCTGTTTCCCTTATTTGACATAGTGTCTGGTATCCAATAAGTATCAATAAAAGTTGAATGTCCACAATAGGTAAATAAATAAAAGAAATGGTGTGTGGCAGTGTGGGGTGTAGGGGGGCAGGTGCAAAGGACAGAGAGAAGCCATAATGAAACAGATTTTGAAGATAAAGCTAAAATCAAAGAATCAGACAGTCCAGTTTTAGACTGGAAAAAAACAGCAGAGAAATGGTCTGGTTACCAAAATATCTGATACAGTGAGTATGATCCCTGCTATAGTGGTTCAGAGCAGAGAAACATGACCAGATATTTCAAAGAAATGGAGTTTATATAAAATTGAAATACTTTTCTGTGTGTGTGTGTGCGTGTGCATGCGCGTACGCTAAGACTTAACATTTATACACAAACAATTGGTCTTTTCTAAAATAAGAAAATAAGAATGAACTGGTTGGTGCTTCATAACAGATAAATATTCTTGGTTAGCTTTTGTCCACTCATTAGTTTTGCTTTAATATTTGATGGGGAGAAAATGGAGTTCAAATTTGGGTTTATGTCTGTCATAATTGACTTATTCTGTATTTAAAGAAAGAAACAAAAAAATAAGATTTTATTTTGAAGCTAGCTACTTTTCCATACACCATGAGGCTTCATCATATGGGTCTTGCCTTTATACACTGATGAGTAAAATACAGGAGATAAAATACTAGCACCCATGAGAAAGGAGTCTTAACACCACAACGAATCAGTTAACACCTGTTGACCATTCAGGGGTTAAAAAAAAGTTGTATCCTTTGCTTCACTGTGTTTTTGGAATCATCATACTGCCTAGTTTTCTGGGAAATGTCTATGACTATATGACTAGTCTAGTAAACAGTAATTTACAGGTCTGTGCCTTTGCTGGGTCAATGTCAGGCAAATCAAGAGATCTCCAATGAACACATACCTTAAATGATAGTGAAATAATTTTTTTTTTCAAATGTTCATTACTTTAAAAGCTTACATTTAGAAAACTTAAGTTTGCTTTTTGATAAAGGTTAGGTTTTCTGTGTTATCATAAAAATCAACTTTCTGATGAATATTTATCCTTTTTTCCCTAAGAATTCAATAGTTCTTCATATCCAGGGCCATGAGTCATCTTTGAGGACATGCTAGAATTATCGACGAAACTGCGAGGTAGGAAATGCACACTCTGGAAGAGACAAAATATGTTAGGTCTTCAGACTTCATTCAGATTCAAGACAGATGTACAGATACCATTTTCTCCAACTGTATACATAGAATTCTTAGCTAATCCAAGGTAAGTAGAGCAGATCACTAGGTTCTTCAATAATTGCAATTTGTCACCCTAGTATTCATTCTATTCTCTTTAATAAAATTTTGGAGAAATCAAGGTTTTTTAATTCAGTTAAATAAAGCCATGAGTCCATAGGGGTGGTATCCTATGGAATTTGATTCAACAATACATGTTTAATATATCTTTTAAGAGGAAAAAGAATTTTAGGATCACCAGGAGGAAAAGCAGAGCATAAGACATTCACTGGAACTAGTCACATGTGTAAATGCCCTTTACCGAGTCAATACTAATCAAGAGACTAGTGGTTGTGGCAGAAATTGTTTCTGCTTAGGAGGGAGGCAAGCCGGGTTCTAATGTCCTCAGCACAGGCACGAACTCATAGCATAATGCCAGGCAAGCCAGGCAAGTCATTTGACTTCTCAGAGTGTCATTCCCTCCATTGACAAAATGGGAAGATGGAACCAGTTGATTTCTCATGCTTAACTATTTTCATATCCAGTGAACTCTCAGCTTGTCAGCTACTCAACTGCCATCTGCTTTCCTTCTCTGCCTTCCATTACCAGGAAAATGACCTGTGCCGTTTCATGGCTGTCTGATATTCCTTCTACTACTCTTTTTTTTCATATATATATATATATATATATATATATATATATATATATATAATTGCATTTTAGATTCTGGGGTACATGTAAAGAACATGCAGGACTGCTGCATAGGTACATACATGGCAATGTGGTTTGCTGCCTCCACCCCCATCACCTATATAAGGCATTTCTCCTCATGGTATCCCTCCCCAACTCCCTACCCCACACTGTCCCTCCCCGAGTTCCCCCACCACAGACCCCAGTGTGTGACGCTCCCCTCCCTGTGCCCGTGTGTTCTCATTCTTCAACACCCATCTATGAGTGAGAACATGTGGTGTTTGATTTTCTGTTCTTGCATCATTTTGCTAAGAATGATGGTTTCCAGGTTCATCCATGTCCCTACAAAGGACATGAACTCATCATTTTTTATGGCTGCATAGTATTCCATGGTGTATATGTGCCACATTTTCCCTGTCCAATCTATCATCGATGGCCATTTGGGTTGGTTCCAAGTCTTTACTATTGTGAAAAGTGCTGCAATGAACATACATGTGCATATGTCCTTATAATAGAACGATTTATAATCCTTTGGCTATATACCCGGTAATGGGGTTGCTGGGTCAAATGGAATTTCTATTTCTAGGTCCTGAGGAATCACCACACTGTCTTCCACAATGGTTGAACTAATTTACATTCCCAGCAACAGTGTAAAAGTGTTCCTATTTCTCCACATCCTCTCCAGCATCTATTGTCTCCAGATTTTTTAGTGATCACCCTTCTAACTGGTGTGAGATGGTATCTCAATGTAGTTTTGATTTGCATTTCTCTAATGACCAGAGATGATGAGCTTTTTTTCATTTGTTTGTTGGCCTTTTCTATGTCTTCTTTTGAAAAGTGTCTGTTCATATCCTTTGCCCACTTTTGAATGGTTTTTTTTTTCTTGTAAATCTGTTTTAGTTCTTTGTAGATTTTGGATATAAACCCTCTGTCAAACAATCCTTCTACTACTTTTGGTGACATAGCTAGCTCATCACAGTGTAGAGATAAGATACACCTAGACAAGATTAAGTTAGGCCAGCCAGCACACTCACCCCAGAGAAGTCAGAGTGAGCCTGTATCCACCGCAGCACAGAAGTGAGAACAGCTAGGCAGAATTCTAGCACAGTGCAAATCAGCATCAGAGACAGAGTTCCCTGAAAGTCAAGAAATAAAAAAAATTGGTGGCACCTGGGTCAGCTGAAGCCTTCATGCCTAGTTGAGAGGTGCCCATAGAGATGAAGACCACCTCAACCACTAGAGAATGAAGTAAGGACATCATCAGGAAAACAAAACTGCTCCTCCCACACCACACAATTGTCTAAATTCAACTCCTTCACTTACTCACTTCCTTCAGAGGAGAAAGGGAGATAAGTAGTAACTAAATCAACTAATCCACTTCATACACTTCTTTCTTACTTATTTGAGACATCGATAGTTCTGATGACATTGTCCACTCAGTAAGAAAGCCGTGTGGTGCCATAACTCCCAGGACTGAGAATCAGCAGCTCCAATTCTAGCCTCACCTTTACTGCTTAGTAGCTGTGTAAGCCTGGACAAGTCTCTCTCTTTCTCTAGCTCCTGTTTCCTTATGTATGAAACATGAAAACTAACATTTCCTTCTCAGAGATTTGTGAGGATCAAGGAGGTTTTGACTGCACAAGTCCTCCATAAAATTCAGTATTGACATCCCCATCTATGTGTCTATGTGTCTAGGTATCAGAGCCCCTTTGGATTTGTTCTTGATTTTTCTTGTTTTGTTTTGTTTTTTTTCTTTTTTCTTTCTTTCTTTCTTTCTTTCTTTCTTTCTTTCTTTCCTTTCTTTCTTTCTTTTCTTTTCTTTTCTTTCTTTCTTTCTTTCTTTCTTTCTTTCTTTCTTTCTTTCTTTCTTTCTTTCTTTCTTTCTTTCTTTCTTTCTTTTTCTTTTTTTTGGTGACTGGAAGCCTTAGAAAAAACAATGAAGGTAGTAAACTCTCAGAGTTGCTAATCACCAACACCAACTCAAAAGGATAGGTTCTATCACTTCCATCCTGAGACATTCTTTGCGCAGAACTGGCCAGCCCATAATAAAAGGAAATAATTTGACCACATGAACTTTTGTTTTGTGGCATTTACACATAGTTAAAGAGAAGATACAACTTGTTTCCATTCCTTAGAAATAGTTCCAGCAAGCAAGAGCAACAGAATCTCTCTTATTTCCAATGTAAAATTGTCTCATTTTGAATTTATACTTTATCACTCCCAAATTTCTCTTCAGAATTTTTCCCAAGGAGGAATTGGCTGTGCCAGGTGTTAATTTGTACTAATTACTGTCAGCCTCATTTACTTGTACTTTTTCTCATTATACCATTCCCTTGAGAGCAAGGTCCACTTTATAATGAGTGCTCTACCAGCATGACTGTGACCAGACCTTTCTATCCATCCATCTTCCTGCTGAGTTCTTGGCTTATCTCATTTATGTGATTACAGGACAATAAATATTCTGCAACTGATTTACTCTTATGTTGCCTGTTTTCCTCATAGCGTGTTGCTGACCATGCACATGCTCCTTAATTTTTCAACTTCTGAAATATTATTTCTATTAGCCAAATTTCCTTATTTTTCTTCTTCCAAAGAGATCGAATTCTCCTGCAATCATTCAGTTACACTCTCTCCCTCTATTTCTTATCTCCTGATTCAATATATCATACTCCTTTCAGCTATAACAAAAAGCAACAATAACGTTGCATTCTCACGTGCTCGGTACTATTTATTATTGTGATCATTAGGAGAAGCCCTTACCTTCTAACCCCATATTTCCTATTCTCTTTTTCTTAGTATTGAATCAGGTGTCTTCTCAGACCAAATAAACTCCTTACCGCACACACATACTAGGTTTTCTTGTTGGCATATTCTGATCATCTAGGTCTTTCTGTTCTGTTTCCATTCTTAATCCACCATTCCATGTACCAAGATTTGCAGTTTGACAAACTCGTATTTTAACTTTCCAAAATTGGATTAGTTTGATAATTAAGAAACTCTACAAACAATAAGTTAAAAGTTTTTCATCATCAACCTTGTTTAACATTTTCAATTCTACTCTATTAGTATGTAATCCCCTTAATCTCATCCATGTAGTCTCCTTAGATTAATATAACCCTGGCCTCCCCCCCATATGCCCAAACCAGAACAAACAGAGAGATTTTCAAAAGAAGAAATAACAAGAAATCAAGGCTTTTGAATGCCTCATGAAATTAGAACGTCCCATCTAAAAATACTTACAGCCAGACTGGCTTTGGCTATATAGCAGTCCGTGGTATCAATTGGATCATAATGGTAAAAATAACTCCTGGTTGGCGTATTATTTTTGTCCAACTCACACTGCAATAAGGCAGGATTTAAGGCAGCCAGATTGACAGACAGGAGAATGAAACCCACCAGAGCAGACAGAGCACTCAGAATGCTTCCAGCCTGGCTGCTGTGCACCTAAAAGAGAAATGCTAATAAGCCAGAATCTCTCTTATACATCTTTGCCATTAAATTGTAAGTTATTCCCTTCTGTGTCTCCTCAGGAGGTCTGGGATTGATCATTTATTGCTATATGACTCTCCAGTGCCCAGCAAAAATCTCAGATTCTCCAAGGTAAATCTTGGCTGAATGAATGAATATATGAACTGGTTTCCCTTAAGTGGGACCTCGGTGATGTTGTAGAGAATGTTACTCTTCTAAATTCTTTCTCTGGGACAGATAGTAGGGTCTGGATGAGGCTTTGCTTGCAACATTACCACGAGAGCATGACCCAAAGCAAAGGTAGCAATGTACTAGATGCAGTTTCTCTCTTGCTCAACTCAGAAACCCTTGGTGGAAGCATCAGCCACACAGAAAAAGTAGATACTGTATTAGCATGGTGCAAAAGTAATTGTGGTTTTGCCATATGGGAAAAACCACAATTATGATTGTATCAACCTAATAGTTCACGCTTGCATGCCCATTGCCTCTCTCAAAAGCACACCTCTCAAAGATGAGGGGCTGGTTCTGAGTCTCAGGCAGGCCCTGGAACCTGGGTGGGCATATGATTGGCCACAGAGAGGGCAGCACGGGACGGCTGTAGACAGAGGACTAGGTGCAGGCCCAAGGATGGTGTAACATGTGGGAGGCAGCGGGGAGTAGAAAAAGAAGGTCTGAACTGCAGGTCAGAATATTGAGGTCACAGTACTAGACTTGTCTCAGCTTATTCCCTTGGATACTCAGTTCCTTGGTTTTACTTCTCACTGTGGTTCTCACTTCTACATTGATGAAGTGAAGGGAATAAATAAACATCTCAGAAGTGACTTCCTTTCTCCTCCAACTCACACAGAAAAGAGAATTGAGCTAAGAGCATTCTGAAAACTGTAGTTATAGGTAGACAGGCTCCAGGGCACACCCCACAGCTGTACAGTAGAGTGTTAGGGCACTTCTTCTTTTAATAAGTGGGCACTTCTTTTAGGAACTCACCAGTTGATGCTTTGGGACCCTGATTTCCCAACATAATGACTAAAGTGTATACTCCTGGGGCTCCTAGTAGCCAGTGGTAGTCCCGATTCCCAGAGTATATATTTCTTAGAATAAGCTAGATTCCCATTGAGATGGCACTCTTCTGCAATCTCAGAAAGGGCTGGTACAATGTGTGACAAGAGGAGAACTCACTAAAGCCTGGAAATCTCTAGTGAGTCTGAGCCCACCCTGAGACCACAACCTGCATCCTTGAGCTTCCTGCATGTTCACTGTGGGATTGTTCTCCGGGGTAAGAGGCCCAGATATTTCCTCCTAGAAGTCTGAAAATACTACCCTTGTGCCAGGTTATACCCAGTATGATTGCCAATAGCCACACTGACTATTTATATTTAAAGTAAAATTAAGTGAAATTTTTATTCAGTTGCACTCTCTAGATCTCACAGCATTGATATCCACGTGACGGCAATATTGTACAGTACAACTGTAGTGCATTTTCATCATTATAGAAAGTTACATTTCATTTCCATCATCATAGAAAGTTACATTGAACAGCACAGATCTAGTTAGCATTGTGGAGTCTAACTGAGGGTTCCAAATAATGATATCTAAATACTGATGGGAAAAGGAAAGAATTGGCATTTTTTTCTGAGCACTCTCTCTCACTTCCTTGCTTCCTTTGGGAGATTTTCATAGCCAGAGATTTCAAATTGAGTTTCTGTGCAATTACATTATATGACATTCTCTCACATAATCTCCAATATCAACCCCTTGAGGGATAACAGATTGATTGAAGAGTTAATGAAACTTTAAAGACAAGAAATTCTCCCCATAATCCAGCCTTTCTCTCTCTGCCACTTCCAACTCTAGTTTTTGCTGGAATAAGGGATTAAAAACAGGTAAAGCTTTTTTCTTTCTTAGCCAATACAAATGACTAAAGACAACTTTTAAGGGTGCTAGAATTTATACACAAACAAAATAACACTTCTGGTGAGATATATGAAAGAATACACTCAGCCAGCACTATCCAAAATTATTGAAGTCCTCAAGGAAAAGGAAAATCTGAGAAAGTCTAGAGGAGCCTGAGGAGACATCATGACTAAACGTAATGTAGTGTAATGTAGCGGCCTCTGTGTACACCTCTGTGTGTGATGCGGCGGCCTCCGTCTACACCTCTGTGTGTGACGCGGCAGCCTCCGCCTACACCTCTGTGTATAATGTAGCGGCCTCTGTGTGCACCTCTGTGTGTGACGTAGCAGCCTCCGTGTACACCTCTGTGTATAATGTAGCGGCCTCTGTGTACAGCTCTGTGTATACTGTAGTAGCCTACTTTGGATACTTCACAGGAACAACACTTCAACTCATTTTTGTCAAAGGTTGTAACACCCGGGCTTAAACAGTGAAACCCAATAGACCTCTTTATAACACTGTCAGCTTCCGTGCCATTGAAAACCTGAATTGGAAGGCCAATTATCAAAAAAGGACATCATAAACAAGCACAATTTTGCTGTGGCACATTCTTCGGCATGGGCAGAGGGAATATTGTAATTCTCTGAATGCAGACTTTGATGTAGGGTACAATAATTGGAGAAATGTGCTCTGAACAAGGATACAGAGGATCCAGGCCCAACTCCTCATTTTAACAACAAACTGCTCTGGAACTAAGTTTTCAGCTTTTGAAAGTAGAAAGACTGGCCTTAATGAGTCCTAAGTTTCATTTTGATCTCTTTGATTGTGGGTTTTAGTTCTCAAACTCACCAAAGACATGGTTAACCGTTTCTCTGTGGTGATTGATAGAGAGCCAGCGATGATAAACTAAGATAAAAGAGAAGATAATCAGGTCAGTTTTTACGTGCAGAGTAACTGTGATGTCACTATCACAATGTTCACAGAAAACTGTCATGGGAAAGACTGTCATGAATCAATGAGGTAAGATCCATTTAAAGACACAGATTTTTCCCTTCTTCCCATATAACATTCAGATAGTATCAGAAAAAAAAGATAGCAGAAATATATCCCAATAAACAAAATGAAGACCTTAAAAGCCAGGAAATAATTTTTGTTTTCTTAATAAAAATGAGGCAATTTTGGTGTAAGATGTTCTCTAGAATAGAATTTGAAAGCAATAGCATTAAAAGAGAAAAGAATTGGGAGAATCATGTGGTTTTTGTCCTTCATTATATTGATGTGATATATCATATTTGTTGATTTATATAGGTGTTGAGAAACATTAAGTTTACCCTGCCCCCATAGCTCCCTTGTGGAGAATACCTTTTAGTTTGCAATTAGTGGGAGGTGGGTAACAGCTGCCTACTTGGTATATTTTTGAGTTATGAGTAAATTGAGAACACCTGTTGATTAATAAGAATCACCTGTTCAAGAGAGAATAACTACATGGATGAGGATCTGCTCAGGGCCTTCATCCTGGAATGCTGAGGCTCTCAGCTTGAGAGTCTGCTGGCCCCCCCAGTAGATCCACTGTGTTGTTCTATGTGGGTGTCTGCCTCTCATTACCTTCAATGCCGCCTGGGTGGGGTCTCCCAACTAAGCTGATAATCAGCACGTAGGTTGAACCATTCTTGTACCCCGGAATAAATCTCACTTTATCATGGTGAATGATCCTTCTAAGATGTGGTTGAATTCAGTTTGCTGGTATTTTGTTGAATATTTTTGCATCAATGTTCATTATGGATATTGACCTATAGTTTTCTTGTAACGTTCTTGCCTGGCTTTGGTATCAGGGTAATGCTGGCCTTATAAAGTGAGTTTGAGAGTATTCCTTCCTCTTCAATTTTTTGGAAGAGATAGAGAAGTGTTGTTATTAGGTTCTTTAAAAGAAAGTAAAAGATGGGAGAAGTTAACAGATGTGGGAGGTCAGAGACATGGATCTTACGTTGCTGGCACCCCAGCTTAAGGTAAAATGGTCAATGAGAAGAGAAGGAAAGACAAAAATGAATGGCAGAAATCCTTCAAGGCTGTGTTTAAAAAATCAGAGACATTGTTTTCATCCTTTAAAGTATTCATGACCTAATGAATTTAGAGCCATTAAGAAACAGAAAATTCTTTGACAGTTAAAAAAGAAAGGAGGGGCAAAATCCAAAGAAAAGTTATGATTACTGTGACCCAGACAATTAGTTATGTGTCTTTATAAACAAATGGCAAGTCTTTTAAAAAATGAACTAGGTGCCTCTCCAGTGGTGGACTGTGCTTAGTGACTTGTTTTGAAAGAGTATAGAAAGAGGAGGAAAAAACATAGTAATTTTAGAGAGGAGAAACCTGGAAATACTACCCCAACCACATGATCAAGGTTAATTGTGTCAGTGACATTATGTTGGTAGCATGACCCTTGCTATGACTTGATGAAATGGTGCTTTACCTAGTCCAAACATCAAAAAAAAAAAAAAAATCAGACAAACCCAAATGTATAGGAACATTCTATACAAATCTCAGCCAGCACTACCCAAAACTATCAAAGTCCTCAAGGAAAAGGAAAATCTGAGAAAGCCTAGAGGAACCCAAGAAATCCTCATGGTGAAATGTTACATAGTGTAATGTCGCAGCCTTGCATGGATCTTGGAACCGAAAAAGGTCCAAGTTTGGGGAAAATCTTGGGGAAAGCTGGTGAAATCCAAATCCAAGTGTAAGTTTAGTTAAAAGAAGAAAAATGGACAAGACACACAAAAAGTGGACTTCTTGGTGCATCAAATAAGCAAATGTAAGAAAAACAAATAGCTACTGAACTGAAGGAAAAAACATCTATGAAAGAGAAGCTTAATTATGAGAAAGAATCAATCTAAGAGAAAGCATTTCTCTGAGAAAAGGACTGTTAAGTCCTTTTGAAACCCCAGAGCTGCAGCTATTTCAGAGGAATTTCCAGGCCATCACTGAGGTGTAGATATCTACTCAGCCTTCCCTGGGAATCAGTCAGTGCAGTAAAAGTATTTTCAAAATGCTCAGCAATGTAAATTCTCCTTCCTCCATAATCCCCATAAGCATGAGGGGATCACAGTGTGGTTTCTCTGTGAGTGTATGATGTCTTCCATTGACACTCATTTTTTTTTTGTATAAAATATTCATTCCCAACTTAATCCTAATTCATGGATTTTTCCCCCTAAATCTGGAGAGAAGTCACTAGCTTCATCAGAGTTCAAGATGATAAGATGAAAAATAAGATGATTTTCAAGAGAAATGCTTATTTGAGTCTGACAAGAAATTGATCTGAAATCAGGCAACTCCTGGCATTCTATCCTACTCAATCCTCCCAGAACTACACACACAGGAGAACAAGTTTCACCATCAACTCCTTGGTTCTGGCAGATCACACAGTAATATGGCAGGTGGAAAAGTCTAAGTTATTGGAATCTTCCTCCCATCTTCACTCCATCATGCCCTCCTCAGAAACTACTCACACACAAGGGTCCTATGAATGGGTAAGCGGACTTCAGCAGCGTAGAAATCACTTGGCTAAAATTTGGAGAGAAAGATGCAGATGCCAAAATAATCCCCAAGCTCAACACCTTTATGCCACACAAGATCTGGATAGTCTGTGGGAAGAGAAAGGGAAATTGAGGATTAAAACCAGCATTTGTAAAGACTGGGTCTTTTTGCCTCTCCCACAGTGCTAATATATTATCACCTTCAGCAAGATCCCAGTGAGGAGACAAACCCTGTGGAAACTCTGGAGTGAGAAACATAAAAAGACATCCTGGAGGGTGTGTGGGTCTGCCACAAAAGCCACAGTCTTGGGTGTCTGGCAGGTGCTCAGCAAGGCTTCAGGCATTTCTGCCTTTCAGACGCTGGTCTGCTCATGACCCCTGCTTCTAGCTCACAGCAGCTGCTGGGATCTGCTTTCCCAGCTCTCAGGACCTCTGAATCCATGACTAGTGGATTGTCTTTCTACCTGTCTGCAAGCAGGGCACCTGAAAGCCCCACATTCTCTGCAGTAATGGCAGTGCAGAAGTCCCTCCCCTCATCCCCCAGACTCCATTGGACACGGAGCTTGGCCCTCTCTGGTCACCTCCTTGGAAACTGCAGTCCAGAACCCTGTAACTGAAGTTCTGGAAGCTCTCTCTCTTTTTTTAAACTTTTAAGTTCAAGGGTACAAGTGCAAATCTTTATATAGGTAAACTTGCATCATGAGGGTTTGTTGTACAGATTATTTAATCACCTAGGTATTAAGCCTAGTACACATTAGTTGCTTTTCCTGATCCTCTCCCTCCTCCCACCCTCCACCCTCTGAAAGGCCCCAGTGTGCACTGTTCCCTTTTACATGTCCATGTGTTCTCATCATATAGAGGCCATCACCCTTAGCAAACTAACACAGGAACAGAAACCAAATACTGTGTGTTCTCATGTATAACTGAAGTCTGTCTTAGGGGGCAGTTTCCTTCCTGACATCCACCTCAGAGATTACAGCTCTATTATTATTTACCAAGAAGTTTTCTAGACCTTATGTAACATGAGCCTCATAGAAACCCACAATTGTACATGAGGCAAAGAAACCAGTCCCACCAGGTCCTGAAACCCAGTCAGACAGAGGGCCTCACCTCACATCATATAAGTGCAGAGGCAATTCTAGAAACCAAAACTCTGTGTTTCCCTCCCAGTCCAATACAGATCCCTTCTTTCTCTCCTTCCTTCATGCAATACAGCTTCTTTCATTAATTTTGGATGAGATGAAAGGCAGACAAACCAAAGGTGAATATCATTTCCATTCTCAAAAAGGTAAGGAAGAAAGAGAAAAAGGAGTTGTATTTTTTCTGTAATTTGCAGTGAGGGGAAAATTCTTTGCAAAAACCAGTGTGAGTTATTAAGCATGCAATTGTGAAATACAGACATATATATAATATAATTACATATTATAGATATGTATATATTTATGTATATATATACACACACACACACATATATAATATGTAATTATTTACCACCATTACTTTTGTAAAAGAAAATTAGAGAAGTACTGTATTGTAAAAATACAAAAACAACAACAGAAAATCAATTCCTCATATTCAGAATAAGGGAAAAAAAACATTTTAAGACAACCCCTTGTGGAAAAGTTCTGCAACAGTTTTCTCCAAGTGGTTCCTACCCTGGACTTGCTCTGGCAAAAATGAAGGGTCTAAGAGTCTCTACACTCACAACAGCTGTCCAGTCCCAAGATACACATCATCACTTGGAACTTCCCCCAACCCACCTCCAACACATCCTGAATTAAATTTACCCCAATAACTTTGACTTCTGCCTGTAGATATTTCTTCAGGCTATCCTGCCCCTGGTTGGTGGCTGAAGGTTTCTCTGCTTGGGAGAAGTTGATGACATTTGATGGGAGCACTATGATGGTCTCATTGGGAACAGGTTGTGATGTCATGATGGTGCTGCCAACTATGGAAGAAAAAATAGATTTAGCTTTTAAAAAGTACAGAGCTCCCTGGTTCTGGCTCCAAAAACTGTTAAGTCAGTCTGCCAATTAGTCCAGGCTTAGCCTGCCCATTAGAGAAAGGAACTGATAGTATAGAACAGTGAAAACCACACAATCTTGGTTTCATGAGGATTTTTCCATCATGTTTGACACAGTCCATTACAGATAATAGACACATTACAGGGTGGCAGCAACATCAGTTTTGAGAGGTCCAATGTCCAGAGGCAAATGGTCACACAAAATTTGCAAAATGTAACAATCTCCCTTTCCCCAGTCCTACTGACAATGACTGTATTGCCGTATATTTGATGAATTTTCAGACTAATAAATGAACTCTGCTTATTTATTTTTTGTCTAATCATACTATTTATTAGCATTCATCTTAGGTATGTTTATCATATTTTACTCGACATGTTTTTAGTTTATCCTGGAGTTCTTTTAATCCCTACAACAGTTCTGCATCTAAGTCAGTAAAAACATGTAATAAATAAGAAAACTCAAATAAAGTTTAAGTTATGAACACAAATAGTATACATGTTGTATAAATGCATGGCCTAAAATTAATGCTGAAGAAATATTTGCAGTTACCTTTATTGTTCAACCCTGTTCACACAGCCGGGAAGCTCTAAAGCCAGTCTTGGATCTCAGCTTTCCTTGAGTTTGAAGCCTTTGCATAAATCTCTACATCATTCTACCTCTTCCTACGTTTCCACCTGGCAATGCCAGCCTGTGTCTGAGTTTACTCGGGCTGAAGAAGCAGCTGCATGCAGTGGTATGAAGACAAGTCTTGGAGTCATCTCACATAGGTTCCCGTCCTGGATCCTCCCCGCTTTTTAGCATAAAGACCAAGTAGGCTGCGGTATTTGTTGCTGAGCTCACTTGGATCTCTTTTCACTGCACCATTCTCAGCCCACAGACTGCCTGGTTTACAAACAGTCCAAAAACATTTGAAGAGACCAGAGCTCTTCTGCTAATTACACAACACTTAGGTAAGTGACTCACTGAGTTCATGCAATAAGTATACAGCAGAAACAGAGTTAAAAACAGATATTCCTTCCATTTGCCCACTCTATTTTCAAAATGCTCTAGTGTCTCTTAACTGCTGTCAAGGAGTTTCAAGTCAAGTTACTCGTCTAATGAGGTCACAGCAAGGAAATGGTGAGATGAGAAAAGTCTTCTAGCATTACTTACTTGTGCCCCTTGGTTCCAGCTGAGTGTTCAGAAGCTCCCAAGAAGTTTTAACTCTGGGTTCTCAGACAGTCCCATCAATGGTTTCTACATACCTTCATCTTCTGAAAGTCATCCACCCTTCCTTATTCCAGTGTTTGCAGCTACACAGGATGTGATACTCACAGATTGTAGATTTGTGAAATGTGCCTGCACTTCCTTTTCTGTAAACTTCTGGCAACTTCAGAATAATCATTAAAAGAAACAACTTATATCTGTGAGAATTCATGAGTCACGGAGATTTATGTGTGAATTGTCACTTAGAGGTGTACAAGTTACCTGCTATTAGGCCAGTCTGATCTTAGAACCTCATTTTTCTAATCTGTTAAATAGAGGAGCAATACCAACACTGGAGAATTGTCACAAAGATGAGCAAAAATATTTATAAAAAGCCTATGCTGCTTTGAGGCATTCAATAATATGTAACTAATAATCATAATATTGCTAGTAATCATAGTAAACACAAACAACAATATTCCATTGTATATAACTAACCATAATAATAATAACAGCAATAATGACTATACTTTTAAGGAACATACAATAATATATAACTAATAATGATAATATAGAACATAAAAAATCTTTAAACAATTTATATATATGCATATATATGTAGTTTGTTTGTTTTTTTCTAATTCCTCAAGCTCTTGGCAAGCTGAAAGCAGCCTTTCAACCCTCATTGCCTAACTGCTGCTTACCCTAAAGTCACCTTCCTCCTCTGGCTACACTCTTTCTCTAACAACAGATCTTTGCCCTCCGGAAAGGTTGGGCCCTTCTAGGGATGTTTTGAAACAGAGAAGAACAAATGGGAAAGACTCAGCAGGACCTTAATGATTCAGCAAACTTATATGTGAGCTGGTTTGTGAGGACAGAGCCACTGTGCCCCTTCAAACCCTTGGGTGGCGTTCTTTGGAAGCTGATTTTAATGTGTCAGGCAAGGAAACCAGAGCCAGACAGGACAACGGCAAAACCCTACCCTGCAAGATTCCTTTTCCCCTTTTTTGTGTGTGTGTGGGGGGAAGCTGGCAGAATAAACCCAGAAACACAACCTGAACCCCATCACTGTCACCTCAGAGGGCCATGGGTTCTGAATTAATTCCACACATTAACTTCTCTGTTGAAGAAAGGAGTTACCAAGCACCATTTAGAAGGCTGGATTAGTTCTCAGGGTCTGAATGACCCAGACATTACAAAATATAATTGGCTTGTCTTAATTTCTAACAATAAATCTGAGAGAGGGAATGAACTCACCCAGAAAGGCTGGGGAGACAGGCAGAATCACTTCCAACCTCGCTCATCCGAGCTCCTGGTGCCCCTTCCCCCTTTGCAGAGTGCCAGCTGTGTTTCCCATGGGTGCCCTGCATCTCTGTCACTGTCACAGCACTCATGAAATAGTGGAGTGCAGCTCTCCTTCTGAGCTTTGATTAAGAAGGAGCCCAGCCTCTTCAGGAGCGATCATACCCGCTTTCCCTTCAGAGGAATGTGTTAATAAACCAGTTAGAGTTGTCTATCCAAGCAAAGACTCCCTCTCCACTCTGTTTTCCTCTCTGTGTTATTTAATTTAAAATGATTTCTGAGTTTTAAGGATTATGTGAGACAACACATGTAAGGGGCTTAGCTCAGAACCCTACAGAATTATGGCCTGAAAGTGGTCTGTTGATTGTCTTCCTCTCCTAGCCTCCTCCTTCTTTTCTGTTTTGGCTTCAGTAAGCTCTGAACAAAACTCCTCTCTTGTTTTTCAGCTTACACTTATTCAGCCTTTTATATTCTCAGTTTTTTCCAGAGTCTGAACTCTACCAACCTAACTAGAAGGGAAAACACTGATATATTGATAACACATTCTGATTAATAATCTAGGACATGTTGCTCAAATAAGCTACAATGCCCTTTTGGACTGGGTAATTGTTTGGGGTAGGCGGTTATCCTGGGTGCTGTAGGATGCTCAGCCAACTCCCTGGCCTATGCCAGCACAACCCCACCCTATGTGTAATAACCAGAAACATCATCAGATATTGTCAAATGTCTCTTGATGGAGGGAGAACAAAATCCCCTCACATCCATGTTGAGAACCACTGACCTAGGAGCGAAAGGGTTTTTTTGTGTGTGTTCTGTGTAAAGGCAGGTGTGTGAGAAACAAAACAATATTTTCTTTAAATCAATTTCTAAACTTTTGTTAAAATTTTAAATTGTGATATAAAACACATATAATTCATTATCTTAACCAGTTTTTAGTGTACAGATCACTAGTATTCATTATGTTCACATTGGTGTATAACAGACCTCTAGAACTTTCTCATCTTGCAAAACTGAAACTCTATACACATTGAACAACTACCCCTCTCCTTCCTGCTCCTGGTCCCCGAGAACCACCGTCCTACTTTCAGTTCCCTATTCACTCTGTGTCTGCTTTGGATTCCTCATATGAGAGGAATCACAGAGTATTTGTATTTTTGTGATGGCTTATTTTACTGGCATGAAATCTCCAAGTTTCATCCGTGTTGTAGTACATGATAGGATTTCCTTCTTTTGTAAGGCTGATGAATGTTTCATTGTAGATCTATACATTTTCTTTATTTATCCATTGATGGACATTTGGGTTGCTTCCACCTCTGGTTATTATGAATAATGCCACAATAAATATGAGTGTACAAATATCTTTACAAGATCAAGTTAATTTCCTATTACTAGATTCTATTGTGCTGAAAGGTCATATAGTTATCCCAAGTTCCCATGGCAAAGCTCACAAACAGATGTTCATGTTTGACAACAAGAGCATTGTAGAGAAATTCTGGTGTTCCTCTAAATATACATACAACTCCGTGTGCACATTCTCCACAAAATACCTCTTGTTCCTGCAGGTCTGTGGGCAAGTCTGTTCTCTGGCCTTTCTAGTTCCAAGGATCTCTCCTTAGAGAATAAGAAGGCCTTAACTCTTTGGACCCAAAACAATTATTTGGGCTTTTGTTTCCTAGGTAGCCCTGTTTCCCAGGTCCCATCTGCATTTCAGTTTTCATTTCCTACTCTCCAACTCTCTCCTTCAGGACCAGGGGCATCATCTATTCCCTAAGGACATCTGTGCTTCTCTTAATTATCATGTTATTTCCTCCATTCCATGACACCTCTCATTCTCCATACACTAGGAACTCTTCTCTTTTGATACATCGTTCTGAAGCACTTACCATAAAATCTCTAGTGAGATGTTATTCTTTGGATTGCTAGAAAGCAAAAACTAGAAGTTAGTAAACAACATCTCCTTTTCCCTTCTCCATTAGTATATTCCTCTATCTCCTTCACTTATTTCTCCCTTTGCATATATTATCTTAAGAAAAGAACTAAGAAAGTCCTAAGTGGTTGGAATTGAGAATAAAAAATTATGTGCTTGTAAGAATTTTAATTTTTCTTGTAATCTCCAGTGAATAAATTAGTATTGGGCAACAGGAGTCTTCAGTTGAAAACACAGCTTGGCAACTATTCCACTATTTAAGAGATTCGGAGAAGGAAGGACTAATATTCAGCATAAGCTACTTCATGAAAGTGACTGTAACTTCTCATACATACATGAGAAGTTTCTTCCTATAATGGAGGAAAAGAAAGAAGTATGAAAGAAAGAAAGGAGGAAATGCTGTCCTCTGACAATTAACAGAGTGAGGTGTGCGGGTTCTTTGTGAGGAGGAGGAATCAACAGCTAGAAAGAGTCCTCTGGCTCTGATTGATCTCTGCGGGCATGTCTGTGTTTCTAACAAGATAAAACCTGACTTGTTATATGAAGAATAGCCTCAAATCCATTGCTTTCTATTTGTGTCTCATACATTATTTGGTATATTTGTTTAACGGTTTATATCTGAAAATGTCTTGAAACATCTCTGTCTAAATTGTTATTTTGGGTCAACTAATAAAGAGATAGCAGTTTCATGGTTTTGACAAGGTTTATGGTGCTCTGAATAAGTTAATACCTACACTTAGCACCTCAGCTACATGGGGAAACACTGACTTACTTAGGCTATATAGATGGCTCAAATTATGCCATGAACTGACATAAGATCAAGGCTAACTTCCTCATGAATAATGAACGTTGACACATAATTAGGATCAATTTGTCTAAGAGTTTGCTACAATTATGTGTTCCCAGGAAATGCAGAATATTTATAGCTTGATATCTGAGCTTCTGTCCTTCAGTTGTAACTTGAGTAATAAAATAGATTAACACATTTAGGCTGAGGAAAGAGGATGAAATGACAAATTTAATGCATGTGAAAACCAGCCAGTGAAAACACGTTTGGAAACATAATATTCACATGGTCTTAAAAGTATCAGCCTACTGATTACTTTTTAGTTATGAAGTTAAACATATACCTTTAAAAGGAAGCTAGCATGCGAATATCACCTATCTTCGTTCAGACTGTTATAACAAAAATACCATCAACTGGGTAGCTGAAACAACAAATATTTATTTCTCACTATTCTGCAGGCAGAGGCATCTGGCATCTAAGTACTGGCATATCCTCATGTCTGATGAGGGCCGACTTTCTGATTCAAGGATGGCTATATTCTCACTGTGTCCTCACATGGTAGAAAGGAATGAGAGAGCTCTCTGGGTTTTTTTGGTTTGATTTTTTTTTTTTTTTTTAGACAGAGTTTCACTCTTGTCCGGGCTGGAGAGCAGTGGTGTGATCTCAGCTCACTGCAACCTCTGCCTCCAGGTTCAAGCAATTCTCCTGCCTCAGGCTACTGAGTAGCTGAGATTCCAGTCACTCACCACAGCACTTGGCTAATTTTTTGTATTTTTAGTAGAAACAGGGTTCATGTTGACTAGGCTGGTCTCGAACTCCTGACCTCAGGTGATCCACTCACCTCAGCCTCCCAAAGTGCTGAGATTACAGATGTGAGCCACTGCACCTAGTGTGGTGGTCTCTTTAAGAAGAGCACCAATTCCACTCATCAGGACTCCACCTTTGTTACCTGATCACCTCCCAAAGGCCCCACTTTTTAATACCATCATCTTAGGGGTTAGAATTTTAACATATGAATTTGGGGAAAACATAAACATTCAGTAGGTAACACCACCTTAATTAATTGATCAAAGAAATCCTTGCCAAAATTGGAATAAACTGTTATCACGTGCCTCCTTGTGTGATGCAAAGGAAAGTTGGTAAGTAAGCCACATCTTGTATGTTGTGTTCTTATTAAAA